TTGAACTGGGAAAAATTTCCCATCTTTCTCCTGCAGAGTTTGCTAGTGAATTCAGAGTTTCAGAAAGGTACCATTCCTTCCTGTGGCTGCAATTATTTTTCTCGTTAATATTTTCTAGGCACTATGCTGAATTCTTTTAAACTATTTAATTCTGTAATAATCATACTACAGGGATCACACTCATTCACTCATTGCCTTAAGAGTCAAATCTGACTTGTTGTTGACCCTCTTAGTGGGTTTTCAGAGGCTGTGAATCACACAAGAAGAAATTGTACAATAAGTTATCAGTATTTTCGTTTTACTTATGAAGAATTTAAGACAAGTTGTTAATATAACCAAATTGAGATTACACCGCAAAAAGCAGAGATTAGATTCTCAGATATTTTTGTAAGGTAATTTGTATGAGGTTAGAATGATACATAAGGGAGCCCTGGTGACATAATCCACAAAAGTTGTGCAGCTAACCCAAAGGCCACTGCTCGCTGACAGATTGAATCTGCCAGCAGTTCTTTGGGAGAAAGATGAGCAGACTCCCCCATGTGATTTATAACCTTCAAAACCCACTACAGGGTTAGCTATATGTTAAGACTGATGTAGCAGTAAAAAGGAATTAAGAAAAATTTTAAAAAAAAAATTAGAAGAGAGCTGAAATCTTAGTGGGAGAGATCAGTTAATAGCATGTCTCAGAAAAGCAAAATGGGTATTGGGAGTACAATTTTATTATGACATCTTCAAATAGGTACTGTTAGAATATAGTATAGTGCTCACTAACCAAAAGATCAGCAGTTCAAATCCACCAGCTCCTCCAAGCGAGGAATATAGGCAGTCTCCCCTTGTAAAGATTTACAACCTTGGGAACAAGGTGTAGGGTTGCTATGATTCACGCGGAACCAGCTTGGCAGCAGTGAAGTTTTTGAGTTTATAGCCTGTAGTCTTCATAGGTCTGTTCAACAAGCCAGTGAAATAATATTAATAGAAGTCAGTCCCTTTCTTCTTTCTCAACAGTGGTAATTTTCTACCTTGCAGAAAAGGCAGGAGGAAAAAATGAGGAGCAGAGAAAATACCATTGAAATCTGGAAGAAGAATGCAAGAGAAATACTTGGGAAAATATGTGGGAAAGAAAAATGAAAATTGGGGGGTGGAAGTAGTGTTGGTTGATCATATTTATAATTAGGGTACTAATTATACCTCAAACGCAGCCTCTGGCTTCTTGAGGAGAGGCAGGTATGAGGGCTCCGGGCACTTGTGGTGTTCTTTTTGCCCCACATGGGGGTTGGCAGAGCGGACTTGCCAGATGAACTAGGGGTCTGGGGCCCAGAGTTTGCCAGCATTTGGGCATGCCAGGATGGTAAGACACTGAAAGGCCGTGCCTGTCTTTCATTGTTTTTGTTCAGGCATTCCTCTAGGTTATATAGCCCTGGTGTACAAGTTGCCATACAGCAGTAACTTGTGGTTGCTGTGAGGCTGAACACCGTGATACTGATGTGTCAAATGCTTTAATGGTTGGTTACCCAATGAGGACAGAGAGTGGGGTGGAGCTCCCCAATTAAAACAAGCTTGGAAGGAGGAGTGGCATCCACTTCCATAATAGCTTGCCTCCAGAAACCCTATGAACCTGGAGAGAGGACTCTCCTTCATAGGGTCGCTATATGAGTCTCCTGCAATTCGATGGCACTTAACAACAATTATACCTCTGCACTTAACGTATACCCTGTTATACCCTAGAATCATTGCTTTCTTGAACTTGTAGCTTAATTAAAAATCAGTTGGACTTATTTAAATTTTTTATAAATTTGCAAGTATAAATGTTTTGTATTGATAAAAAAATGCTTGCTTTGCTAATTTGTATTTTCTATGTAGAGAGCTTAAACCATGAAAATTATTTTCTTTCCTTTTTTTTTTTTGAAAGCTTAAAGCAGTTTTATTAAGGGGGCTCCTAGGTGGGATTCCTTGGTCTGGAGAGAGAAACAGAGCAGGGGAAAACTGCACCCTCAGGTGGGTTGGGGCAGGTTTGATATTTGGGTTTTTTTAATTGTGGGGTTTTTTTTTATTACTTTAAATGAAAGTTTACAGAGACTTAGCATTTCCAGTCATTCATTGTTGTATTTTTCTCCCTGCCCCCCCCTCCCCCCCAATTCACTCTTCTCCTTGAAAAAGAAAAGCTCTTTCATTGTTAGGCAATCCCTCCCCCCAGGTCCACTCCACTATGCAGCCTTCACTCTGGAATTCTGTAATGACAAGAATACCCATTCATATATCCCTTTGAAACAGTTCTCTCCCTCATCTGTTTCAATGCAATATACATCATTCCTCACCTCCTTTTCTGTCTTCCCTCAACCCTGATGTCAGTCCCATTCTACAACAGTGGCCCTATGCAATATTTGTCCTTTTGTGACTGAGATATTTCACTCAGCATAATGTCCTCCAGGGTCACCCATTTTGCATAGTATTTCATTAGTTCCTTTTTTCAGTGCTGCATACTATTCCATTGTGTGAATATACAAGAGCTTCTCTATCCATTTGTTTGTTGATGGGCACTTGCGTTGCTTCCAGCTCTTTGCTATTGTGAACAAAGCCACAATAAATCTGGGTGTGCAAATATCTGCTTGGTGGGAGTTATGGTTTCCTTAGGGTAAAGTCCCAGTAGTGGAATTGCTGGGTCAAATGGTATTTCTATTTATAACTTTTTGAGAAAGCGCCATATCGCCTTCCACAGTGGTTGTACCATTTTACACTCACACCAACAGTGAATAAGGGTTCCAGTTTCTCCACAACTTTGCCAGTATTTGATGTTTGCTGTTCTGTTAAATTTTTCTATTTTCACTCAGAGGAGATAATATCTCATAGTTGTTTTGATTTGCATCTCTCTTAGAGCTAGGGATTTTGAACATTTCTTCTTGTGTTTGTTTGCCATCTGAATGTCTTCTTTGGTGAAGTGTCTGTTCATATCCTGTGGCCATTTTTTAATTGGGTTATTTATTTTTATCTTGTTGTGGTGCTCAAGTATTTTATAAATTCTAGATATAAGTCACTTATCTGACATGTCATTACCAAATACTTTTCCCCCAATCTGTGGCTTCCCTTTTTACCCTTTTGGAGAAGTTTTTGGATGTGCATAGGGATTTGATTCTTAGACGGTCCCATTAATCTATTTTATCCTCTCTGGGTTGTAGATTTTTCAGGATGCTTGGAGGATTGTTGATGTTGTAGACATCTAGAGTTCTTGCAAGTTTTTCTCTAGTGAAGTTTATAGTCCTAATGAGATTTTAGTCGTAGGTCCATGATCCACCTTGAGTTGGTTTTTGTGTGGATTTTGTTTGAGTCTTCTGCAGATAGTTTTCCAATTTTGCCAACACTACAACCCTCCTTGCTGAAACTGAAGAAGACCTGAAGCGCCTGCTGCAGAGAGTCAAGGACTGCAGCCTACAATATGGATTGAGGCTCAATGTCAAGAAGACAAAGATTCTCACCACTGGACCAATTGGCAGCATCAGGATGGATGGTGAAGAGATTGAGATTGTACACAGCTTTAGCTTGCTTGGCTCCACAGTCAACAGTCTTGGCACCAGCAGCCAGGAAATTAAAAGGCGCATTGCCATGGGAAAGTCTGCTGTTAGGGACCTCTCCAAAGTACTGAAGAGCAATGGTGTCTCTCTGGAGACTAAGGTGCGTCGGATACAGGCCATGGTCTTCACAATCACCACACTGTCTTGATCACCATGGCAGTATAGAAGGATTTGAAATCAGGGAGTGAGATGCCTCCTACCTTGTTTCTCTTTTTAAGGAGTGCTTTGCTTATCCTGGGCCTCTTTACATTCCAAATGAAATTGGAGATTGCCTTTTCCATCTTCATTTGGAACAAGATAGAAAAGGCAGGTTTTTATAGTAAGTGTCTTCAGGGAGGGAAGAGAGGGACATTCCATTGTTGTTTATTTAGCCAGTTGGGCGAGGCATTCACTCCCTTTGTTGACATGTGGTATTCTTTGAATATTTCTTGCACCCCCTGGACCTTGGTCTGGGCCTGACATCCCAGTCTCTTTAGTGAGAAAAGGGGCAACATATCTTTCTTCTAGCTGTTTTCCACTGAACAGGGCCGAAGATCTGGGGCTCAGAGGCTGGATTGGGTTAGCGCATATCCAGGGAAGAAAATGGGTAATAGTAGTAGTAGCTGGTTCACAGTTAAGTTGGTCATTTCTTTTATCCTGTGAAGTAAGAATTTAAAAAGCAGGGAGTGATTAGTAACAATATGAAGAGATACTTATTTTCTCAAAAACTAATTTTCCAAAACATGAGACTTTTTCTACCACTTATCTGTTACTTGTGTTATTGTGAGTGCTTTTGTGTTGCTGTGATCCCAGAAATTATGGGAGACCTGTGAGGGACAGGTTTCAGCAGAACTACCTGGCTAAGATACACTAGGAGGAAAGGCCTGGGAATCTACCTCTAAACCTTAGCCAGTGAAACTTTGAGTCACAACAGAGAATTAACTGATTCATTTGCTTTGGGATGAGCCACTAGACATGGACATCATGTTTGATGAAGTAGAAAGCCAAAAGGATCAAGAAAAACCTTTAATAAGATACACTGACATAGCAGGTCTAATAGTGGATACAAGCATGCCAGCAATCATGAAAATGAAGCAGGGCCAGGCAACGTGTCTTTATGTGCATATACTCTTTATGAGTCACTGTCAGCTCAATGGCAGCTGTCTATCTCCTTATACCCAATAAGAGTAACAAAATAGAAATTGATTTACAAAGCATTTCTGACCTCATTGTAGCTTTTTGGGGTCATAATATATATTATAATGCATAGATACTAAAATAATAGCTATTTGTCATTGAAATCTCTGAATTATTTTGATAATGCATGGATACTAAAATTATACCTATGTTTTGTTAAAAACTCTGAATTATTTTTAGTTAACTGAACGTCAAACTCCATACTCATGATACTTCTCTCTCCTCACCCACTACTCTGTGTATTATGTTTGCTTCTAGGGACTGGTATGTGCCGGATTGGCTGACATGGCCAGACCTGCAGAAAAACTCAGCACAGCCCAGTCTGCTGTGCTGATGGCAACAGGTAATTTTTTTCCCCATAAGCATATTTTCACAAATAGGAAAAAGAGTTAGAGTTACTATTCATTTGTCCTATATAGATGCTCTAGTGAAAGAGCTATTTTGCATAACCGTGAATTATAAAGACTAAAGACTCAGATATGGCATTTCTTTGTCATTCTTAAGTATCATTATTATCCTCATTCATAATTATTTGATTCTAATGTTAATTTTTAAAGTAGTTTAACAGTACTTTTTTAAATTTTTTGTTTTTTAACTTAACAGGGCTCATTTGGTCAAGATATTCACTTGTCATTATTCCAAAAAACTGGAGTCTGTTTGCTGTTAACTTCTTTGTGGGAGCAGCAGGAGCCTCTCAGCTCTTTCGTATATGGAGGTAAGCTTGTCCAGGGTGGAAAAAATACCTCCTTCTAGGTAACTGGACAACAGTAATCTCAAAAGAAAAACATTTTCATGACTATTCTGTATATTCTATATTCTAATACATCTGTACCTGAGGCCAAAATTTTGCCTGTCTAGCACGGTCAGCACTCTTGGCACCAGTAGCCAGGAAATCAGAAAACGTATTGCGATGGGAAAGTCTGCGGTTAGGGACCTCTCCAAAATACTGAAGAGCAACAGTGTCTCTCTGGAGATTAAGGTCTGCCTGATACAGGCCATGGTTTTTGCAATCACTTGTTATGCATCAGAGGGTTGGACAATGACTAAGGAGGATAGAAGGAGAATTGACGCCTTTGAGCTGTGGTGCTGGAGAAGAATATTGAATGTACTATGGACTGCCAAGAAAACAAACAGATTCATCGTCGAGAGGATTAAACCAGGCTGCTCCTTGGAGGCAAGGATTCTGGGGCTTCGTCTGACATACTTTGGACATGTTGTAAGGAGAGACAGGTCTTTAGAGCGGGACATCATGCTGGGTAGAGTGGAGGGACAGCGCAGGAGGGGAAGACCCTCTATGAGGTGGATGGATTCAGTGACTGGGGTACTCAGGATGGGTTTGTCAGAGGCAATGAGATTGGCACAGGATAGAGCACGGTTTAGGGCTGTTGTATATAGGGTCACTATGAGTTGCAAGTGACTGGACGGCACATAACAACAACAACAGAAAAGTTGAAGTGTTTACAAATAAGTTACATGACCAGTGTACTAGCAGGAGAGCTCGCATTGATTATTCACTGTTTTCATCCTCTGGAAAGTGGCATGGTTTTCACTAAACTCTGGAGGCATTATGCTTTTACTATGTCCTGAAAGAGTTGCCTGTTGTAGATGTGTAACTTTTTTTTTCAATTTTCAATTTTTTTTATTATTCATTTCAGAACATCTACAGAGATTTTGGAATTCCATTCATTCACTGTTGCACTTTTCTCCCCACCCACCCCACCCCCACCCCCAGTTCACTCCTCTCCTTGAAAAAAGCAAAGGACAAACTCCTTCATTTGTACACAATCCCCTCCCCGACCCCCCACACACACATTCCCACCCCCAAGATGTGTAACTTTTATAGTGGCAACACTGTGCATGCCTCATTTTATTGTACTTTATAGAGGAGTCATTTTCACAGTCTCTCACATTTTGATAAGTCTTACAGTGTTTTAAACTTTTTTATAATGCCATTATTACATAATTTTAGCCTATCTATAGTATAAACATACCTTGCACGCACTGGGAAGCCAACTTTCCATGTAACTTGCTTTTATCATGATCAGCACTTTTTATTGCAGTGATCTAGAGCCAAACCTATAGTATCACCAAGATAAGCTGGAGGCCTTTTGTGTTCTTCTCTTCAACCATCTCCACTTCCTCTAGTGAGCCACAAATTTGGATTCTAAAAGATGTAAAAGTAGGGGAGAGACTGAGTAAGATGGGTTCAATAATGTATACTGCACTGAAACA